TTGTTTCAAAAATAAAAACTCAGCGATCCAGAGACATGTTTCTGCACTAATGAACGAAAGTATGTGTTCAACCTTATGATGGTATTATTTTTATTTTTTATTCGTTATGATTCATCGCTCTTGAAGGGCACGTCTCCGATTTCTTCGAAGAAAAAGTCTACGTATTAACTGGACGAAACTCCAGATTCGGGCTCACCCGGCAACCTGGTGCCAAGTTCCAGTGCTACAGGAAGCTCTCCCGAATTCCGATCCAAGATCCTGGAGAGCTGAGACTTGAGGTATTCGCGATGGAGCGCGCACGGAACGTCGGGAAGCTCCGTGATAATGTGAGCGCAAGCTCCCGGCTCCAGGATGCGCGATTGTTCCCGAAAGCTCAGTCACAGGAACAGACCTTGCACTTACTGTGCCACTGACTCGCGCTCGGCGCACCGCTGCCAATTCTCACCTTCACAACGGGGTTGCAATTGTTAGCACAACAATGTTCGGCAAATGACGCCCCCACCCCTTTATTTTTCGAATTTTTTGTTCGATTCTAACAAAAAAGGCGGTCCTTAAAAGCATAGGCCACCTCGACGATAAAGTCTAGAATTCCTGTGCTCTCGATGGAATTCTCCGTTTTTCCCACAAATTTAAAATTTCTTCCTCGCCGAACCTACGCAATTGATATTGACTCCCGCAAGAAAACTAAGCTTCTCGTTTAAGGCTCCCTAATTGTTAGTTGTTTCTCTTCAGTTTACCTCCTCGCATGAGGATTACCAGCAAAAAATTGCTGGATTCGAAGGGGCAAATAATGCAAGCGAACAACCTTGAACTAAAAACGTTTGGTGGAAAATAGCTTCAAAGTGCCGGATGTATTTTTTTAGAGGAAAATTCCACAATTTGGCAACACCTTCCTCTTGTACCGGTGAATGAGGCTCGACCGCACTCCAAACAAACAACGTCGAGTGGACGAAACGAAAAGCTCGACGAGTAGATGTCTTTATTTGATGACCGCCTCCAGGGTTATTATTTCCAATTGGAATGGTAGCTCTCCGTCTCTTGGACTTCAATTCCAATCTCGAGAGACAATCATCACCGGTCACAAGGGTACGCACGAGGATAGCATTTGACCGTGGCGAGGGTCGTTGCACACGCGCAGAAGAGGAGGGGGGGGGGCTGACAAGACAAGAGGAGACAGCAGTGCCACCCCAGTCACGGAGTATAATCAAAGGACAAACCACCGGAGTCGTCGTCGCATCCAGAAGTGGGGTTAGGATCACTTCACTTGCCGAATGTGAACGTGAGGGGGTCGGAATTACAGGTATTGACACGCGGGCCGGGGGAATGATGGTTATTAAAACCATAAATCGGGCGGCGGGATTAATCTGCAGCGCGGGAGGAAATTAAAAGCGGGGGGACCCGGGGCCCGGGGGGAGTGTCTCCCTCCCGCGGGTGGCTGTACCTGAACCTGAACCCGGCGGGACCTGCGAAGTTCGTTGCGCGGTCAGGCATCCAGCCCCGACCCCTCCTCCCCCGTATCTTATTAACTCCGAAATCGTGACCCGCGGTGCATCTCCGTCGGCCGGGGGACGCCGCCGCGCTTGCCGGGCCGCTCGCCCGGAGACCCCGGTCGCCGGGCCGGTCCGCGGAATTCCCGCCGGCTGCGGCATCCCCGCGCGGACGACCAGATATAATCTTTTCATACTTTTTCAATCAACCTATGAGAGTCTGTTAACATAGAAATACTTAATTTCAGCTGCTGTTCGGCCCCCGTCCCCGCAAAATCGGTCTACATTCCGATCCGCAGCGTTGCCGCGTCGCCTACCCTTTTCAGCCTTGAGTCGATGATGCGAAATCACCGTGAAATTACCCCAAGCCTATACTTTCCCTACTATAATTCGTAGTTTTTCTCGCGAAAGAACGTAACTACATTAAAATTTACGAAATATCACCTGGGTAATTGCATTTATACCAAGAGAATCTTGAACATATCTGGCTGAAAATTTCACTGATTTTTCCTCCGATGTCATCTAAAACAGCCAAATTTTGGACAAAAATCATACAGGTATATTCTTATGAAAATTCTATTGTTCTAGTCGATATTGCAACCTTGAAATGGAGTTACGCTCTTTCGACCGAGGAACTGTGGCAATCTGGCAACTGTGGTCATCTAAAACAGCCAAATTTTGGACAAAAATCATACAGGTATATTCTTATGAAAATTGTATTGTTCGAGTCGATTTTGCAACTTTGAAATGGAGTGTCGTTCTTTCGGCCGAGGAACTGTGGCAAAAATTAAAGCATTTCGGCAGAGCAGTCTAAAAAATTGTGGGGCGAGTGCATTTTCCAGGGCGCCACTCATTCGAAAGATACTCGAATGCTTCACCAGAAAAAAAGGAAATCCTACTCTTAGGAATCTTGGTTTTGTGTATCAAAAAAGCCTTATAGATGTGTATCCTGAGTATAAATGTTCCCGATGCGACATACGACAACACCGGTCGGTCGCCGGTCTGTCGGGAAGCCACGGTCGGGAGTCTTGGGGGGGGGAGGGGGCGCAAAGCAGTCTTCGCAGGGAGCTTCCACCGACTCTTTGAGTGCTTACTGCACCGCTGGCCCTTCCTTGACCCTGCTCGCAGGCATCTCGGACCATCCTCATCTCCCGGCTGGACGCCACCTTCGCGCTCAACAACGGCGACGAAAACCCCCTTTTTCCCTCTTTGGATTATATTCCTCCGCGAGAAGTAGGGAGGATAAAGATGGGAAGAAGAAAAAAAAATGTGACTAAAAACCAAACCCACTTTAGACGTCTCCAAATTGGTCCAGCAATTTTGAACCAACAAAAACATTCGAGGGCGAGCCGGACGCGCTAGGGCGTACTAAAATCGTTGCTAAAAAGCGTACGGCCGTTCGCTTGTGAGCCCTGGAGAGCATTAAGTTTTATAGATGATGGAGCTCATCTAAAATTGAAGTTGCGCTTTGAAGTCAAAGGAGCCACGGAATGCTCCTCGAGAAGGCATCCTCGAGTGCTCTACAATAGAGCGCGAGCGAGCCTCGACGTTTTATAGAACTCTTGAATAACTGTACGTATTTCTGCCGAACGGAACTAAGTGCAATCAGACACGAGCCCTGAGACGCATAAGAATATACGCATAACAGGGCTCACGTCGTAATGCACATAGTTCCGCCCTGCAGACGTACGTCCAACTCCCCCTCCGCCACGGTAATCTTTGCTTAATCATGCTTCACCCGTCAAGATTCACCACTCATCCTTATTTACTCTCAACAATCCTTCCGTCGTAGTTTTTTTCCTGTTGATAGTCGAGCTTTCCTCTCACTCCTTTCTCTGTGCTTTCTAAGGACCCCCTCGTCCCGGGCCCGGAACGCACAAAGACACCTTTTCACCAAAACACATGCTTTCACGGCCCGCGTTTTTTTCCTCTTTCCGGCGCGCCGGGAGCTCGAAAAAAAGGAGAGGAAACAGGTAATTTTACGCACATGTTTGTGTGCGAAAGCCGAGTTTCGCGCAGGGATGCCGCGGCACGCACTACACGCTGCTATGCGACAGCATTGCCACAAAGGGCAAATACTCATTTTAGAAATAATGTAGGTGCAATAAGCTTGTATGCAGATATACGACTGGGGGTACTTCTAATACTTACTATAGGGGCCTCCGGCCTCATACTGATAGGTTCCTCTATGGATGAGCCAGAAAAAGTAAAACACTAAAGTTTGTGATAAAATAAATCATGTTTGTCGAAGTAACATCTTTAAAAGCAAAGAGTATTAATTTTTCAATAATAATTGTAAATTTCTGGCTGATATTTGATAAGTTTTGTTATAATCTTTACAAATAAGTTCACTGGAAAATCCGCCTCTTAGATCCAGAGTTACCTATGACTCTTAAAAAATTTGACAAGAAAAGTACTCTTGATTCAATCGCACTTTTGCTCGCATCGAAAGTCAAGCCACTTAATTTAAGCGGATTTCCTTTCGATTCGAGCAAAAATCCGATTGAATCTAGAGAATTTTTCCTTGTCAAATTTTATAAGAGTCTGGACTCTACATCTTAGAGCATTTTTTTCAGTATACGACCTTCTTGATAACTTTTCCTGACCAAACATCTCCGTTTTGGAGTATCCATGGTAGCTCCCAATCACCACAAAAAATCGAGATTCTGAATGCAAAATGCAGTCCCACTGACACATTGCTCTGGAGGCCAAGTTAAAATTCGATTATCTCGGAGGGGAAATTGGGATTTCGGGTGAATCTGACATTGGTTGCGTGCGCATCCCGGGCCGGGGCGAACCGCGAGTGCGCAGCAGCTGTAGGCTTCCGGCGAGAGGGCGCGGGGCGAGATTTTGCTTCCGGTGTCGCGGCCGGAGGGGGAAGGGGGGCGGGAGCGGGCAGGTAACTTGAATCTTCTCGAGGGTAAGATTTGTCCTCCTTCCTCTCGGATCTTCCTTACCCCATTTCGGCCCTCCTTGGCCCCGTTCCCCGGCCGCGAGGGACCAGGTGGCCTATTAAATAATGGCCTCGACCGGAACTTTTGCCCCCGCGGCCGGCACCGTCACGAGCTGCGCGTATTCAAACGAGACCCGGCAAAAAACCCTCGGTTTCCGACCTTCAGTTTGCGATGGGCTCGCTAAACAGGAATCACTACTCGGGACGAAACCGTGACAGAAACATCCGATAGCGAAAAAAATAGAGAGAACAATATTTAAAGTGGTACGAAGTGAAACGTTAATTTCGAAAAGGTGCAGACTCTTGAGAAACGAAATTTTTGAGGAGACAGGAAAAACTACACAGGAGGCGAACAAAATTGCTTTTCCGATAAAAAATTAATTTCGGAAACAATCGAACTTCGCATCTTTTCGAAAGAAACGCTTTAATCGAAACACATTGCTTTGAGCGTTATCTCTCATCTGTAATTGTGAATCCACTGCTAATTATAGACAAAATTGAATGCATTTTTTTCCATAAGAACGTAAGTTGGTGACGTAAGTAAGGTGTGAGTAACATACCTGGAGTTACGGGTCCTTCTGTAGTATTCGTATCATGCCAGGCCTCGACAATTAACGAGAATGTCCCCTGTAAACAAACAAAAAAGCTCATTAAGTATTTTTCTTTACCAACTACCGGTAATAAGTACCTAAAGAAAATCCTGAAAAATCAGCCAAAAGTAATGAAATATTTTCATGGGAATTAAAAAACGAGGATCATAAATCCGGACCTGACGCCCGAAGCGCGGTTGGCAACTAGTACTCCCTGTAAAAGCTGCAATTTTTCTTCTCCGAGGGTGTGTTTCCTTCGCCGCCGCACCGGACCGGGTCTGCACTGCTGGCGACAGCCGGGGGGTTCGTCCGCGGCGCAACCGGTTCGCGAGCGAAAAAAACCCGCGACAACGGCCGTCGATCACCGCTTTTGCAGTCCGGGCGGCACACCGCTGGCGTCACCGATCTGCCAGGCCCGAGACTATTTTACAGTCCGACTGCACTTTTTCCGCGGCCGCTGGCGCCCCCCCTGCCAGACCGGCGCGGAAAACCCGGGGCCCGCTTCGGGGTCCGGCGCTCGGTGGCGCTAAGTCCGGCAGCCGCCGGGATTCCAGGAGCGATGATTGACTTGCCGATCGATCCATCGACGCGCCGTCCGTTCGTTGACATCCATCTCTGCCGGTTCGGCGCGATTGCGGCTGCGGACGGGGGCTCGGGGCGCCCGGTGTGGCATCCTGGGAGGACGTCTTTTTCGAGCCCCCCCCTGCTTTGCGACTTGGTTAATTGCCCGAGACCGGACTCCGGAGCCGTAGCGCACGCGTGTCGCGACTCCGCGTCGAGGTCACCGGTTCGACCCCCGAGCTCGACTTCTAATTAAAACCGCGCGGTAAATCGTAATCGTCATTGTCATCCACCGGCGTCCGTCGTGGGGGCCCACTCTCGTCGGCTACGAGTTCGCGGTGACGATAGGCCTGGGGTCCGCAACTTTCTGACGTTCAGAAGCATAAAATCATCGCCTCTATCAAATCCGGGATGGTATCGAAACTCCTTCGATTATGTATCAATGGGCGTTTATAAGGAAAGTCGACGATTTTAACATTTTGAATTTAGAAAGTCGACGATTTTAACAATTTGAATTTCCTCAAGTTTTGTAGTTTACCTTGTGACAGTAAACGTTAACGGCTGTTAAAATTTCCATGATACTGAAACATCCTATGAATATCATTCGTCGAACCATTTGGGTTCAGTCGAAAACAAGATAGGATGCTCTTGTTGTTGAGAGAAGACTGTAAGCCAAAATTTCCGAAGAAAGTAAACTCGCAAAACTGAGAGGAAATGATCAAAAAAATAAAAAAAATACTCTGGGAGTTCGTACCTATCACATTGATTATCATTTTTGCATCACGCAAAAAAAGGGTTGTTCGTTGGGTTGAAAGGGTTGGCCAATGCGCAAAAGCGACCAACCCAAACCGCAAAATCAACGTTTGTAACCGAGGGAAAAACAGAACCCAAAATACTACCCTCAGCGTCCACCGGAGCCCAGAAGAGAAAGTGCCGGCAAAAACCGCCGAAAAAAAAATGTTCCGGATGGCTTACGAGGATGTTCCGGCCTGATGTTCCTGACGAGGGCGAGCGATTAGTCTCGTTTATCCTCCTCCATGTTCCATTCAATATTGTGAGTAAAATTAATCAGGCGGGTAAGGCGGTCGCGGTGGGGTAACCCGAGCCGGCAGACGCGTTCCGCAAGGTGCGAGCGCGCCTCGCTCGGCCCCGGCTGGACGCAGCGCTTCCACTCGCGCTAATGAATGGAGCGCGACAGCGATGGTCCACCATTCACGCAGCGTCGCGCGCCGTGTGGCCGAGCGTGACGCAGGGGGGCGGGGACCCCGGCTCATGTTACCCCTTACGTGTTCGCAATGGATAAAGATTTTAAGCTCCTCGGCGCTGGTCATGCGAGGAAGTGATGTCGCGTGGGGATGAACTGACGAGAGAGATACAGAAGGTTAGAATTTGGAGACCGTGATCAGCTCCGCACACCTCGACAACGGCAATTGTGAGAATTCTTTCCCGTTCGCGTCGCCTTGCAATGGAGCGATGCAACTTTTTGCGGCTCGCGAAACCGCGGATAGAATCCTCGGAATTTCTGCGGCACCGAAATTTACAGTCGCCTGCCGTGGGAGCCAAGGTCTAATCCCCCCTCCCCCTCCCCAAACACCCACCAGCGAGGGAAAATCTAAGCTCTACAAATGCGTTACCTTGCTCCTCATGCCTACAGGAAATTTGGTGCATCGGATAATAAGTATAGAGAATAGGTAAAATAAGAAATAATTGAGTGCCGAAAACAAATGAAATGAAAATTGTCTTAATATTATGAAATTAGAAGAATTAGGGGCTAAACCGATCAGCATTTGGACGCATTTCTGTCAAACGGAACTATGTGCATTGAGACATGAGCCCTGATACCCGTAAGAATATATGCATTACAGGGCTCACGTCACAATGCACATAGTTTCGTTTGATAGAAATAGACGTCCATTTAAGAGCAGAGGGAGTAAGACAATGCCATATATTATAACACGATACAACGGTGCGCCGTTGGTGCGGGACTTATTCCTGTAAGTACCACTTGCAATGCTCTATCTGACGACAGCGTCGAAATTATTCACCCAGACTGCAGCGCTCAGAGGTCACCGAGAAATTGACACTTGCTCGGTGCCCGGAGGTTGGGGGGCACGCGGGCACCAGCCTCGCCGAATTCCCAAGGTCGCCCGCGGAATTAATTACCGCCAGCGAGGAGGCACACTTGTTCCCCGTTATTAATGCTACTTCCACCAGACCCTCTTCCCGAGAGGTACGACGACCAACTTGCATTTCTGCATGGAAAGCTGCATGAACGCAGTCAAATAAAACGATCAAATTTCTTACCAAATGAAAAGGAGGTGGGTGGGTAAATTGAGGGGGCATCGCTCCCTTTTACGATCGAGACTGTCAATTAGGGAGAAATAAGTAGGGAGGCTTCATTAATTTTCATCAATGCGATTGTGAGTCATCAATCGAATTACGCCTAAATGCTAGCTAAAATTACTTATGCTCTACGAAACCGTCTGTACCTAGATTGATTACGAGAGAGTGCACATTAATTGGACTGCATTTTGCAATTTGGAACCATAAATTCTGGCTCTTCAGGATAAACACTTATGTGCATAGGGAAACCAATGGCAAATACGTTGTTTTTAAACCGGGCTAGAATTTATAGTTCCAAATTGCAAAATGTAATCCAATTTCCATTGGAAAAATGGAAAGTTTACTATTTGAATTAGATTGAATAGAATCGAAGATTGTTTTGATGGATGACAACTCAAGTTTTGGATGTTTCTTCGACTGAGAATACAAAGTTGCGGCAGTCCACCACCCAAGTTTCCGAGTTACACCCCGCGCGATTTCGCTATGCACAAAGAGGGGATAAAATACGACCTGTTGGAGTTCATTGTCTCGCCGGGTGAAATATTTTTGACGCCTCGGTCGGCCGTCGCGGAATGCGGTGGTGCTCCGCGCCGGTTTTCCAGTGTCGGGAAAGCCGCCTTGCTCCGTGCTCCCTGGCTGGGAATCCAGCCTGCATCGGATCTCGCTCAGCCGGTGCTTGTCACTAACCTCAGCCTCACGCTGGGACTCATTTCGTGCCGCTCTGGTCTCCGGCACGGTCGCCAAACCTCACATTCAAAGCCACGAATTCCACATTTTAAGTATTCCTAATATTTATTTCAATGGGCAAATTTCTTCTGTTAAGTTATCTTAAGACACCTTCGAGCGTCCTCAAGGTTTTTTTCCGCTCAAGATGTCGTCCTCTGACGCAAGGTCGTATCTCTATCTTCACATGAGCCCATGGGCGTAGCTAGGGGGGTCCTGGGGGCTTGGCTCCCCCAGAAATCTCGTGCCCCCCCCCCAGAAAAACGGGACCCTCCATTCCTCACCCCCCCTGCTCTCTTCACCACGAGAGGTGGTCCCATGGCCCCTCCTAGAAAAATTTCCTAGCTACGCCCCTGCATGAGCCTTGGAAGGCTTAGAGCTATACGGGACACAGGGCTCACGTAGACTTTGAGATACGTTCTCTTGTCTAGAGAAACGACGAAGTGTCGTTTTTGACTGGCAGACCCCAAAATTTGGCCCCACTGATGATAGAACTACGTTTGAGCTTAGAGAGCCGTGAATCCATACAGGAGTCTTCGGATACAGATATTTCGCTTTCGTCTTGATGACGTCATCCGGGGTCGGAATGCGCCCGCAACACGGCTCCTCCGACGAAGGTCAGTTAGGAGCAACAGTAACGATGGATGCGGGCGAGGATCCCAGAAAAACAAAAACAAAACCCAGAAACAAAGGGGGAAAACAAGGAACAATGGCCGATAGCGCAGCGGAGCAGGAGGCAGAGCAGAGCAGCTTTGGCCGTGGCACGGCGGCGGCAGGTGAGGGGGGCCCCCGNGGGGGGGGGGGGGGGGGAGCGGGGTACAGGCCCACGCAGGTGGCTCCTTGCAGTTCCCACGGCTCCAACCTTGCCAACCATCAATGAAACTCCACCGAGAGAAGGAGAAAAAGAGAAAAAAAACCTCCACAAAAATCATTAATTTTTTCCTCTAGCAGCTCTTGATGCTCCTTTTTTTTGTTATCTTACGGGAGCCCCCCCTCCCCTCCCCCAGGTTGGCTACTGAGCCTCCCGAATCCTTTCTCTCACCTGTTGCCCGGACCGTTTCGTCGGCGACTTAATCCGGGCGCGGGAGGGGGGGGGAGGGGAATCCGGGTCAGGTTGTGGGGAGGCTCGTACGTTCGTTGTGCGGCAGTTGTATGCAAATCGGGGGCTTACGCCGGTAACTGGAGCCCGTTCGGATTGATCCAAATTGGAGGATGACGATTTACGACGTCCAATTCCGCCACTTTTTAGCGGGCGCGGTCGGTGCGCCGCGCCGCGGATTCCCCGCGCGACGGGTGTCACCGCAACAGGTTTCCCTCCTCGTCACAGCGACTTATCCCTCGACGACTAATTATTGGCGGAAAGAAATAGTTAACCGTTTGCACTCGATGACATTTCAGTTTCCTCGCGAT